TTAAAAACATAAATATCTAAAAATATTACGCAACTGCACAAAAAAAAATTCCAATGGCAATCCTAAAGCTGTCCTAATTTCGCCCGCAATCCACCCTTTTTGGCGCACTTTTACTCCATCACTACCTTCCTTCGCTAACGTGAGCGGATATACCGCCGCGCGCAAACGCATTGTTTCCATCGCCGATTCTCCTGTCGTCTTCTCCGTCTCCCCCTCTTCCCCCAGAGAAAACCCTAACAATGTCATCTCCCTCTGTTGAAACCAATCCAAAACCGTAACAACACGCTTACGCCCCAAACGACAATGCCGATCGCGTCTCAGAGCCTCCTCACGAACTTACCACCCCGCATCGCCCTTCTCCTAAACCCACCCCTCAAAAACCCTAATTTTTCTCCTCCAATAACCTCTCGCCACATCATCACCGGACCACCTTTTTCGCAAAATTCGCTCCATCTCCATATATCCCGCAACTCTGATTTCAAGTCTAGCCAGTCATTCTTCGCTCTCAGAGTATACGAAAATGATTCCCAATCTGCCACAGTAAAGAATAAGGATCCTTATGAGTTCAATTTAGATTCTTTCCTTTCAGCTGCTGAATTGTTATGCATTGTGTCAGCCGCTGTTATTTCAGTTACTTTTGCTGTGAGTTATGCACTTTCCGGGTGGAAAAGTGCCGTCTTGGGGGACATATGGAGGAGGGCTCTGGCTTGTGGGATTGCAGGATTGGTGGGTGGGGTTGCCATTGGAGCATTGATTAGGAGGCGACAATGGAAGAGGATATATGTGGATTCCTTAAAGGGTAATGGGGAGAAAATGAATTTGGTTGAGAGAATTGAGAAGTTGGAGGAGGACTTGAGGGGTTCGGCCACCATTATTCGGGTCTTATCTAGACAGGTTGAGAAATTGGGTATTAGGTTTCGGGTAACTCGCAAGACCTTGAAAGATCCTATTGCTGAGGTAACTAATTAGGCCATTAATTTGTTTAGTTTTTTCTTATGCTGTTAATGCTAAAGTTTTGCTTTGATTTAATTATTCTCTTGAATTTGAAATTTTTAGAATGCAACAGATTTCTATTAACTATTAACTTTTATCCTCCTATTCCAGAAAGAACCTATTTAGTGGGTGATTGATTATCTCTAGTTGAGTATTTATGTAAAGGCAACTGGAATATGAAGTAAACAAATTCAAATTTATGTAACATATGTAACATGTATGTGGATTTTAAGTTTCAATGTCTTATGAGTTTACATATATGAGTTGATGTTTTTCTTGTTGTTGATTTAAGATTGAGATTATGTTGAGATTGAGTCTATTCCTTGCAATCAAAATAAAAAATTGTGATTTTTTTTTTACAGAAATATCACACCTGCATCCACAACCCATTACTACGTTTTAAAATGCTAATCTGTTAATCTTGACTTGTCTATATAATTTGGAACGAAGGGCACATGCATTATTCTACCAGAGAGTTTTGCCTAGTTTTCAAGTTATAGAATTATGATTTTTCTTAGTAGGACAGTAAAGATTCTATGACACAAATTAGTATTCATTATTCATAACAAATTCAAATCTATTTGGAGATAATAGTGGAATGGGAACTTGATTGTTTTATTGTGCTATGAAACAGTGATATTCTGGTGTTGACAACAATCTCACAATGCTGATTATATCTTCAACAAGTTACTATGCTGTGTTAGTGGCCTGTTTGTAATCCCTTAAGTTCAATTAAGGTTTGATAAGGATTGTTGCTTAAGCATATGAGAAAATGTTTGGGGGTGGGATGTGGTTTGGAACATAATACTGAAGTAACTTTTCTTAAATTAGAAATTTAGAAAATAATTTGGGAGCTCTTACAATATAACATTTTTCCTGTTTTATAACTGTAGTAATAAAAAATTGCATGTGCATAACTAGTTGTTAATTTTGTACTGCATTGCTATAACTAGAGATCCCTTGTTATGCAAATTTGTTCTTTTGCATGTTTTATCTAAGTTCATCACCTGTAGCATCATACAACACAACTCTCGTTAGTTACTAAGCAGTGTCATTTTTAGCCCAATAAAATGGCATCGAGGTTCTTATGCACCAGTGCTATTAGCATTGAATAAATGGGGTGACCAACTGTTCCCTACTAGTTTTGATGTCAACTTTGCTAAAAAAAACAAAAAAAAAAAAAAAAAAAAGTTTTCATCTCTCTCTCCCTCTCTCTATATATCTCTCTTTTTTCCTTTTTCTTCTTCTTTTTTTTTTTTTTAAATCAATTCTCACCACTTACTCATGTCTGAAGACTGCAGCTTTGGCTCAGAAGAATTCTGAGGCTACTCGAGCTTTAGCAGTGCAAATAGGCATCCTGGAAAGGGAGCTTGGTGAAAATCAAAAAGTTTTGCTGGCAATGCAGGTGAAATATAGCTTTATTACATTCTTTTTGATTTTGTAATTTTATCCTTCCCTACTGCAGCTCTAAGTTTCAAAATTACCAGATACCTCAAAGTATAACTGACACTTTCCAGTTGAGACAAACCACACATGAAGCTGAAAAAATGCTGTAAATATCTGTTAATGCAGATTGTCTTAGGAAGCCCCCTAAAACTGGTTAAGGTGTCTCTAGAAGGTGCTTTGAATTCTGAATTTAGATTATATGGTGGTTCTTCTAATTTGATATTGAATTTTGCTCTTGTTCTTGTATGCAGGATCAACAGCAGAAACAGCTTGAGCTAATACTTGCAATTGGAAAGCTTGCAAAGCTGTGGGAAAGCAAGCAAGAACCAAGTGAGAAGAAAGAGACACGTAATTTGACTGAGGAGGGAAGACAACTAGAAATCCATAAAAGTCGAGCTTCAGATGTGAGCAAGGAAACCATCAATGACAGAGCATAGTATTGTGGAGCAGCAGATCCAGATTGAATTTCTGTCAGTTTGTCGGTCTTTTTTCTTCAAAAGGCAGTTAGGCTTACAGAACTGAAGCTACTGTCGTCGGGCATCAATTCTCAGCAAGAAAATTTTTGGTTTCCTAAATCTGCCTTGGAAGGAGATGAACGAGATGCTAGAAAGGAATGCAGAAATGGTTATATTCTTGTTTGAGAGTAGCAACATATGAAAAGAGAAGCAAAAATGCATCTTGGGTTATGCTCAAGCTTCTATTTGTAATGTAATTTTGTTATTTTCTTGTTACTCAAATCACTTTTCTTCCTAGTAAACGTTTCTTTATGATTAAACATCCTGTAAAATCATGCAGTGAACCACCTTACCACTCTGGAGAATTAAAGCTGGCGGTGTCCAGGCTTGTATTATTAAGTTGAAGAGTGTTTCAAATGTAGCACTTAGCAAAGTTGTTCGAGCAACAATATCATTCACCCTATTATTTTTAATAAAAATGGAAGTTTAATCTGAGAAAAAATAAGCCGATCTGGACGATTTGAGGAAGCGTATCATTTATATGTTCGTGAAGTACCTATGAAAAACATGCTCCTAATCTCTGAAATTAGTTCGCTACTTTGTGTTATGGATATGGACGATTGGAGCAACTCGCTGCATTGCGCCTTTTTTTTTTTACCCATTTCTACGAATCAATTAAAATGCAGCACCTGTTCTATTTATTTTAAACTGCCATATATCACTTTTGTTGGTAAATATTTTATTAGTTGATTAAATCATTTAATTGATATTTTTCTTGGTACTAAACTCTTTGTATTTAAAAATAATATTAAGTCTCAATTAATTTAAGATCAATTTGAGTCCAACCCATATAGGGGAAGCTTTTCAAGAACTGTTTCTCCATTTCCTAAATTTAATTGATAATTTAAGTGCAGGATTTTGAAAATACTTGGAAGTAAATCAAGGGATTTCAACTGATCAAGTTTTGAGCCAAACAATCGTATCAATTAAACTCAAGCCAAATTGCTGATTTTTCTCTAGATAAATCTGGGTGGTCGATGGTTTGTAACAACAACAGCAGATTTATTAGGTTTATAACAACAATAGCAGATTTATTAGGATGTTACAAATTTTATGAATACTGCCACAGATTCTCAACGTGCTGCCATGGATATTTTTCACTATAAATACATGAAGATTCAGCCAAGCAAAACAAGGCCTACTCCTCTCAAACTACGCCAGCGCTTTTTTCTTTTCAGTTTCACAAAGTTTTCATTGTCAATGTCCTAGGTTTTGCTCTCTCAAGTAGTCTTTAGCTTTAGCTTTATATTGCCATACTTTAGTTATTGTTTATTTTGATTTTGATATGAACATCTTTATTGATGCATTTCGTTTCTTGCAATTCACTTTAGTAAAATCTCCTTTAGATCCTTGATCCTTCAACTTTTGTTGACTTACATTTTATGTTGCCAACGCATTACTATTAAGGATTGTTGAAAATCCTTTTTCGGACTTTGATTAAAGTGAATGACACGCCTTATTAGTCCTATCTACCACGACTAAAAAGAGAGATTTTGGAGACAACAGCTTTGTAATCAAGAAACTGTTTTTCGATTTGGAAAAGAGATTCCCCACTGCTTTTTTAAGATACAATGGTATCCATCCAGAGTGACTTATTATAAGGCTTTGGAAAAGCTAAATATAAGTATGTTTCTTCCTGTCCTCATAATTGATCTTTTGCACACAATTAGTCAAAAATGCAAAGAAAAGCATCAATGCAAGGTCAAAAAGACAAGCAATCATCCTCTTTCTTTCTGCCTAACAAAGTAACAAATCTCTTCAAGAAGTTCCCTTTAATCTCAAAAAACAAGTCTCTCCAATGGGTCATGTAAGTTGACAAACACACCCACACTTTCATTTCATAATTATTGTTAGGGTTAATGCAGTTTGACATGCCTAATCACACACAACAAACATTTGTATGCCTACACATAACAGATTGGCTTTTCCTTATATACCTACATCAAAAACACAGCAGATTATACATTGCATAGGCCAGAGATAAGATTAGAGTTTGCTAGTACAGCTTGTTAACCCTTATATGAACTGGAATGAAGACTTTTAGCAGGCAAACATTCAATTAAGGAGAGAGGGGCCAGTCAAATGCTGTGTCTTCAAAATCAAAACGGTTGTAGAACCTCATTTCTACATCCTCCATGCTCTGGTCATCATCCCAATCCCCTTCTGGTAACTCATCATCTAAATAATCATCCATTTCACCAGCAACAAAGTCCCAAGGTAAGTAACCAGAGGAACCCGAGTAACTGGAACAATTATCCAAGCCTTTCATCCCTAAATAGTCTACAACAGAAGGCCCAACCACCTTCAACCTCGAGAACTTCTTTAAGAAGTTGTCATCAAGTTTCACGTTCCAACATCCTCGCATATCTAGTAACTCAAGTTCAGGGCAGCTTCCCAATATCTTGAGAACACCTTCGGTGCTGATGAGCAGGTAAGCCACCTCAAGCTGCTTGAGCTTCGGCATTGTTGCTGCAATGGCAGAGGCCTCATCATCTTGAGACAGCTTTTCAGCCACCTCTAATGGGTGCATTGTTCTCCTCAACCAAGCAAGAGACTTGCAGTGCTTCCCAATGACTTCAAGGGCTGGTGCTCCAATGTTTCTGCAGTAGCTTAGATCCAAGAAAGTTATTGAAGAAAGCCTCCCGGCAACCTCTTCCACTATTGAATCACTTATTTCACTTCTTGGCAGCCGTAAAATCTGAAGAGATTTGGCACTTGAAACAAGGGAAATTGAGTATGCAATAGGAAAAATAACCCAATTAGGCATTCTATAATGAAACTACAAAAGAAAAGGTAATTCCCTCATTGATTTCTTATAAATCTTTACTTGTAACCAAAACTACCAAAATGAAAGATGCTCAGTTCTTAGTCTCCTTAACCTAAATGTGGTAACTCATTATATATTTTATTACACAGTACTAGTAATTTTAATTCAACTCATGAATCATTTCTGATAGATAGCAACCTTGAAACCAATGTCATTACTTACATCCCCTTCCCTCAACAGGTAAAATAACTGTAATGTGGAACAAAAAAGATATGAATACGTCTTATGATTATGCTTACTGGTCTGCAATGAAAGAAAAACTCTGCTGGCTTGAGAGCCCAGTAACGCAGAGCTTGCGGAGTGAACCAGAGCTTTTAGTAATCAACATTCTAAGCACTCGATCAAGAGTCTCGGGAGGGCAGTTTTGGCTCCATTGTTCAATGTCAATCTCCTGCCAACAGTAAGGTCCAGCCACTGCTGCTCCCCATGATTTGCAGACTCTGGGGATTACAGTAAGTATCTCCTGAAGTGAAAGATTCTTGAAGATTAGCCCAAGTGCATCAGGAATTAACTCATCCCACCTCCTCAACTTGCATTCTTCTTCCATCTCATCTCACTTCTTCCAGCCTAAGAAAAGCATATAACCAATTAAAAAGCCATGTGTAGAAACAGATCCAAATGATCTTATTCGCACGAAATAAATGGAAAACATGTAAATTTCAAAAAAACATAGAGAAAGGGCAATAGGCAACAAAATCTCCATTCCCTTTTAGTCAGAAGAAGAAAAATGAAAGAAAATTAAAAAGTAAAAAAGGGACTAGATACTTTACCAGAAGATGAAAACCCACAGTTAGTGTTTCAGAAACACTAATTATGATCATCAAATAACTAAGAAAAACACCCAAGGCCAAAAACCCAGCTGCTGAAAGACACCAATTGAGCCAAAAAACAAAACTACCCAACACCCAGAAATACAAGATGAGCAGAATCATCACCTCATTTAATCACATCACAATTAACATCATCAAAGAAAATTAATGGCCCATTATCCTACACAAGTTGAAAATTTTAAGAAATGTACAGAACTTAAGTACCAGTTACTGAGTTGAACAGCGTGAAACATGTAAAAAAGTAGAGATTGAGAAGAAGACAATGCAGCTGCAGGGGGTTAAGAGGAAGAGTAAAGGGATTACCAGCAATAGTTGGTGGGATGTGATATTAAAATGTGCAAAAAGTCCCCGCTTTATCCACCAGGGAAAAGAGGCAAACAAGGGAAAAAGATGAGAGGTAGAGAGGGGGCAGGGGGTCAAAAGGCTACGATACATGTAGAGTAGGAGTAGAAAACAGAAACAGGACGTGAAAGCAGACAGCTACAAAAATTATATGCCAACAGTGCTAATTTCATTTCCATAGAAGTAATTATGTAATAGAGGTG